TTCGGATGCATAAGTGGGTTGTAGCCCACGAAAGCTTATGCTCTAATAAATCTGTTAGTCTCTAAGGTGCCACAAGTACTCCTGTTCTTTTTGAGAATATATAAAGTCACATAGGCACAAGGCTTTGCAGGGGAGAACAGACAAAGACCCTTTTCTCTTCCTGCCACTAACTGACAAAGGGCATCTCCTTTGTCTCTCCACCGTTGATTATTTCCCTTCCATGCTTTTCTCCTCCCTCAACAGAGCGTCTGCTTAGTGCTCCTTTCCAGGCTCAAATCTCTCATGCACATAGCAACTGCTGAGTACTCCACTCCAGGCTCTCCTGCCTGTCTCTGAGTCCATCTAAGTACTCGGCCCACAGATACCAGCAGAAGCACAGAGGAACAGCTGAGATAGACGGGAGAGAATTTATCCTAAAACTTTGCACAGTGGCCTCTGGTCATAGGAGGCCAGGCCAGGATTGCTGCAGAAAACCTCTTAGGCTTTAGTGCCCAAAACACTAACTGGGACTTTGAACACCTGGGACAGGTTTATCAAACCAAGGACAAATTTGGGCTAGATCAGGACTGTTGGCAGTTATGATATGTTTCATGAAGGAACTGTAATCTTATGCACTGCATGTTCAGGATCAAGGCAGTTAAAACTCCTTTGGTTCACAGGTTGCAGTTCGTTGCAGTAAATGTTGCAGTAAATGAACTGGCAACTATCAAACACTTTTCTAGGTCGGGGTTGGGGGAGTGATTAGGGGATGTTGAGGATCACATGAACAGGCCTTGATGATAAACTACAAGGGCCAAAGCCAAAGGCTGAAAACTCAGGGGACACAGTTTCCCATCTACATCCTATTAAGGTGCCGTCTTTCATTAACAGTGCACACTATCTGCAGGGGAGAAATACAAAGTGCTGCAGTGACTCCACTATGCCATCTGCTGGAACTCAGCAGAAGCATCTTAGACTAATGAGTTTTCAGAACTGTTATTCTCAACTCTAGTAAATTGTACATTTCAACCCTGCTGAATGTACGCTGGTGCAATCCACAAAGGTACTTACTCTCATAAGTCCCGTTTTGGGGCACCACTGCAATTAAAAAAACTCCTGCTCTGCTGCTACCTAACTTCACACTTCCCCACATTAGGTGTCTGGATGCCCAGGGCCGGCTCCAGTATTTCTGCCGCCCCAAGCAAAAAAAAAAAAGAGCCGTGATTGCGATCTCAGCTGTGGCAATTGGAAAAGGAAAAAAAAGCTGCGATCAGCGGCGGCAGTTCAGCGGCAGGTCCTTTACTCCTAGAGGGAGTGAGGGACCTGCTGCCCCGGAATTGCCGCAGGTGTCACCCCTCTCTCTTGGCCACCCCAAGCACCTGCTTGTTAAGCTGGTGCCTGGAGCCGGCCCTGTGGATGCCTATCTCCTGCCTAAACTCCAGAGTGATTTACAAACTGGGAAAGATAGGCATTCGGCCAGCTAAATCATTTGCAGAGGTCCAATCCACTAGGCATGGTCAGAAGCTGCCTACTGGATTGGGCCTTTCAAGCTAGTTCACACAAAACACCGGGGAGGCCTCCTATATGTGTACTCAGCCTAGTGTACTCAGCCAGGATGTGGGAGACACTCCCCCCACCCCCGGTTCAAATCCCACTCCTACCGAGGGGAAGAAGGGATTTGACAAGGGCTCAACCACCTCTCAGGGGAGAGCCCTAACCACTATGTTATAGAGCTGAGGTCTTCAATCTGTGGGGTGTGCCCCGTAGACGGGAGCATAGTAACATTTGGGCAGCTGCGGCTGGGGCCTGGACCAGCCCCACAGGGGGCGGGGAGGGAGTGCTACCCAGATCTGCTTCTGGCCCCAGCCTTGCTCCCGGCTGCAGTTGCAGGCCTCGGCCCCTGGCTGAGGGTCCACTTCCACCTGTGGCCCCAGCCTCAGCCCCCTTACCCCTGTCTGCATCCCCTCCTCCCGGAGCTGCAGCCGCACTCCTAGCTCTGGAGGGCGAGGCATAAGGGGGGGGCGAGGTAAAGTTTGGGGACCACTGCTATAGAGTCATTCTAAATCTGTCACAGCCCCAGTTAATATTTAATTAAAGTAGAACAACTTCAATAGGAGAGACGGAGGGAGACCCCTCAGCCCTGCATCAGTATATTCCATAGCCTAGTAGCTGGAGTACGTACTCACCTGCGAGGTGGTTAATCTCTGTTCAAATCCCTTCTCCTTCTCATTCTGGATGAGCACCCTATCCACTAGGCTGATGGTTATAAGGGAGGTCTTCCTGTTTTGTTTCAGGCCTTTCACCTGACTTAGGTGGTCAAATACGTATCTCCCCGCATTTGTGGATCGCAAGCAGAGCTAGGCACCTATCTCCAAGAGAGGTCTGGGGCTTAGGACACACTCCTCTGGTCAGTCTCTCCCATTGGCTAGCTTAGGTGGCTCCCCTCCTAGCATGCTGGCTTTGTGATTCTCAGTCAAAGGTGCCTGTCTCTCTCCATTCATTGTGTGGGTCCTAACTCAAGCTTTGTGCATTGCTGTGTTGTCCTAGGTACCTTAAAATTAGGCTCTGCGATGCTCAGCATCACAACAGCTAAGTTCCTTTGTGGACCTGGGACTCAGTGCCTAACTCCCAGTAAATGGCACCTAGACAATTTGGTAATACATGCTCTAGAAACTCTATTAGATTACAAGCGAGTCTCATCTTACGCAAGGGTTCCGTTCCACGGTGACCGCGTAAAGCGAATACCGCGTATAGTCAAAATTACATCGAGTGAATGGCGGGCGGAATCGCCCGCACTACAGGTACAGTATTTAAATTGTTATCTTTTTTTTTTTTGCTGACCGCGTAAAGCTGAAATCGTGCATGCTATATGCGCGTAAGATGCGACACACCTGTATACCCTTTTGAGCAAAAGGCCAAGGTCATTAACTAATGCTAAAAGCAGCTCCAGCTTTGGAAGACAGGTGGGAGAGTATCAATCTATTACAATTTATTGTTTAAAAAAAGAAGAATCTGAGGTAAATAATTTCAGTTTATCCAAAAATACTAGTTGTAATCAATTCCCACTCTTGGGGATTAACAACATCAGAGATGGGTCCATGGCAGCAACATTTCTGCCAAAAGCAGTCCCCATACCATAACTACACGGCCAACTACTAACCATACTCTGAGGTAGTGAGAATTGGAGTCCCATGACTACAAGAATTTGAAACTCCAGGCATGTATGGAATTGAGTTGATAGTAGTCAGCTCTGGACTGCACTGGAGACTTAGACAAACCAAAGGTTTGATTTGGTATTTTAGTTACAACCAAGGAAAATCAGACTAGCCACCAAACATGGTGACCAAAGAAGTACTACTATTTAGGTCAAAAAGAAAGGCTGGGGAAAAGAATCAGTTCTCTGCAGAGGAAACTATAATGAATTATCCAAAAGGCAGTCATGTTACGAGGAAAGCTGTGTATTTTCTGGACTGTAGGAATGGTGATGAACTCTGCTTACATCAGCTCATTCTCATTCCTTTAATCACGAGAAGGATTGGATTAGATTCAGCAAAACTTTAGAATAATCAATCAGAGAACTCACTCAGAACTTCTGTGGCTCCTTGTTTCCTCAAGAAATACTGAAGATCCTAGAATATATATTATCATATCTCTGAGCAGCACTTTGAGGAGGGCTCTCTCTTACCTGTTTCATAATACTAAGAAATTAGAACCATGTGGTAAGAAATACCTTCTACTAGCAGTACATCCCAGGGCTATCAAGACCAAATCAACCAGTTCTGGAAACATAACTAGATCTGCAGTTTAATCTGCTAAAGATCTGAAGTCTACAAATGGAATGAAGTGGCATTGTTGGAAGCATGTATAGTCTAGGTGCAAACTATGCTAAATGAGATGTAACTAGCAAACTGCAGAATGCTAAAAAAAGTTCCCTTCAATCCTCTCATACTAGGTGTTGTTATTCCTATTTTAGTAATAAGTAAACAGAGACAGAAAAATTAAGTGACTTGATGGCAGGGGAAGAGAGGAGCATTGTGAGCGTCTGAGTTAGGCAGAGTCTGCGAGTCGGAAGTTCTGAAGCTGGCTCCGGTACTAATTTGCTATGGGTCTTTAAGCGGGTCTCTAAGCATCAGTTTCCCCATCTCAAAAATGGAAATAGTGATATATATCTTCCACATAGGGGTGTTCTGAAGTCTGCCTAAACAATGAATGTAAAGAGCTATGCCAGTGCAAAGTGTTATTAAAGCTAGTCACTGGCAGAGATAGAAAGAGACCCTGGGAGTTCCTGGCTACCACTCTGCATTCAATACACTAACTACACCATACTATCTTAAGGTCATACATGATCACTTTATGTTTTCAGTAGGAATGAACTGCTTTCACTTCAGGTCAAAAATTCACAGCTGCAAATTTTCAAGCCTCAATGCAAAACTTCTAATCGACTTAAATGTCAGAGGTGTGAATCATGCCAAATGCTCAAGAATTCTTTGAGGCAGTTTTGCACCACTGTATTAGCTTTTATGATTTTCATGCACAGCAGAATGTGATTCTGTTATCTTGTATGAAATAAAATGATTGTAACCCTGTCCAAAGGCTCAAACAATGAGCTATCTTTATTCATTAAATTGTGTGGATTTTTAATTGTACCAATCATCTATACCAACTAAAACAACCAATGCATTGAGAATATAAGCTTTTCAAAATAACTAACTTTGACAACTAGAAAATTTTGGCTAGCAGTGGAAACATGTCCTCAAATGGAACTACGGAAACTGATTAAAATGTTTTTTTTATAGTTTCTAATTGCCATATCATGTCTTTCAACTTTTTTACGAGATTAACGATTAAAGTAGATGAGAAACTCTTATGATAAACTAGGCCACTCTACATTTTTATTGTATAAATTAACATTTTTATTAAACACCAATAAAATCATACCAGTAAAATTCCTTCAGGAATATAAAATCAATTGCAACTTTAAACAATGTAAATTCTATTTCAAATGCTCAAGCAATACCTGTTAGGTTAGTAATAAAAATATTCAATTTACTGTGTCTGAATGTATTAAGTTACAGTAGCTGATGTGATTTGATTCTCTTTTGAAGCTTTACAAAATATACTAGTTACTTGAAGGAGCTGCGATGGGGTCTGTTGAACATCTGAGTTCACTAAAAGGTTACAAAATTTGTTTAAAGTTTGTATACAGAAATCTAGTACATTTTGCATGCAGTTGCAGCTACCGAGATTCACATTCAATACATTACAACCAATAATATATTTAAATTGAAGATGTGATCACAGAAGTTTTCAGATCTGAGTAACTGCTATTTGCCATAAAATTTATAATAGACATTGAGAATTATAGCTGTCAGAATATTTTAGAAGTAGCATTATCTACCAAGTCTTTGAAACATACTTTTTATACAAGGCTCTGATCTATTCAAAGTATAAGTGATTCTTAGAATCTGGGGGCCAGATCATCAGCTAGTATAAATTAGTGTAGCTACACTGAAGTCAATGGAGTTGCTCAAACATTCACCAGCTGACAATCTGGTCTTAACTGTCTTATGGACTAGGGGATTCATTGATTCATACTTGTGAAGGGGAGGCACTCATGGGGAACGGCAGCTTTAAAATGCAACTAGGGTTTCACAGGAGCCCAGTCACTATACACCATCCAAAAAAATATGTTGAATCAGCATATCTCCTTGCCCTAAACAGCGTTGCTCACTTTGGGGACTGCAGTGGCTGCATACAGGCCCTCGATAGAGTGGAAGTTTTGTACTGACGCAGCTGTCCCCCAGATTTCAAATTGCCAAAAGCCATGCAGGCTTGTTATCCTGATGAAAGCCAGCATAAATTGGGGCTGAATCAAGCCTAAAGATCATAAATGTATTTTAATTTAATTTGGTTTGAGAGGTGGCTACTAAGGGGGCCATAAACTGCCCTCCATCTACACACACACACACACACACACACACACACACACACACACACACACACACACACACACACACAACGAAGGAAACCAATGGGATATGTTAAGCTCAATGGTACAGCTGAAAACTAAACAGGAACTGGAAACTAAACACGAGTCACATTAGTCTTATATGAAAGGTGAAAAGCTTTTTTGTGAAAACAACCCTTAACCCATCCAACAACATTGAAATTATTTAAAAAGCCAATGTACTCTTACAGTTTCTTTACACAGAATGCCATCAGTATGGTAGATAAATTATTGGTCCTTCTTCAACTCATGTGCTGTCTTTCTTGTTTGATCTTGTTGGTCATGTGATGGGAGTGGATCAACATAAATGAGTGCTCGATAAATCTTCACATACCTGAAGTAGCTTATAACAAGGATGCCCCCAAAAATGGACAGTATGAGGATTGAAAAGCCAGCAACCTTACCAATGTTTGGACTGAAATACAAATGAGATTCGATTAAGAATAGATGTGGTAAATTTTCAAATTCTCCCCTTATTTAGTCAAGAATCTCTTTGACTTTATATTGACAGAAGACATAACTCTATTTGGAATGATGTCTTCTGAAAACTCTTAAAAATGATATGCATCTTCATGAAAATATAGCTGATTAATGATTAAGTTTCTCTTTTACTCTTCTTTATGGTCATGATGATGTAGAAGTCAAGAGCAAAATCCAAATGATTTTCTATAGAAGTCAATGGCAAGACTCTATGATTTTAGTGGGACCAGGATCAAACACTTTATAAAGAGGTGAGTGAGTACAATGGGAACACTATAAAAGTTCATTCTGGTTTAGAAATATTACTGGTTCCAGTGATATCGCCTATACTTAAAATGGGGAATACCGTTAGAACTGGAATGAAATTGTACCCTACCATCAGGCCAAAGGCTTGGATTTGGATATCATCTCTAAGATCTCATTACCTATCTGTAAGACTGGGAGTGTCACCAAAGGATAACAATATTTTTATTCCTATATAAATATTAAATAATAATAAATTACATTTAGTTGTGGCTACTAGCAATTACCTTTCTACTATGCCATATGTACGGACTGCAAAGATTGTATTTAAGTCACAAAAACTGGAATATAAAAAAAGACAAATATTTTCTCAACTATAAAAATATTCAGAATGAAAACACAGAATCACAATGAAACCATCTGATGCCCACATTCACCCCACCTCAAGCACTAACTATAAACTTTATTTAAACTTGAATAAACACATTCAAATTATTTTTTTAAACCATGTACTTTTATATAACTTTCATAATTTAATGCAATGTTGTCAATTCTACTGAGTTTTTTGTAAGTGATGGGATTTCACCTGGGGCTGGAGCCAATCTTGCAATGATGTGAGTTGCTTTAGCTCTCTAGTGAATTTCAGCCTGCCTGGGGGAAAACCCACTGACTGGCTCTTTTCTCCAGTTGCCTGCCTCCTGGGGAAGATCAGCCAATCAGAGCTGCTGCAGGAGCAAGCAGAGCACTCTCCCTCTACCCTCAGCAACCTGAAGCCATTTTCACAGGAGGGGAGAGGATAATGGGGAGCAGAAAGAGCCCAGCAGTACTGGGCAGCTCCACTTCCTCCTCCCCACTCCTCTCCTGTGAGCAATGGGACAGTTCCTCTGCTCCTCCCACCTCATCTGTTGTAATACCAGCCTGAAATGGTTTGGGGAGCTGCAGAACCCTAGGAGCTGCCCACCTAGTCTGGATGGGACTCTGCTGGAGCACCTCCATCCCCTTGGAGGTGGAGAAGGAGTGAAGAACCCCAGGAGGAGCAGAGGTAGGGATGGGGGGGCCAAACTGATGGATGGGGGAAATTGTTGGGGGTTATATGGGGACTAGTCAGCAGAAATGATGTGGGGTCTGGATGCAGAACTGATGGGGGCTGGGAGGGAAAAAAGATGAAAGGATGGGTAGATGTGGGGCTGGGAGGGCTGGAAAGAACTGATGTGGAGGCAGAACTGATGCAGGGATTGGTTCAGGGCTGGGAGGCAGTACAGGGTAACACAAAAACATTCTACAAATACATTAGAAACAAGAGGAAGACCAAGGACACGGTAGGCCCATTACTCAATGGGGGTGGGGGAGAACAATAACAGAAAATGTGGAGATGGCAGAAGTGCTAAATTAATTTTGTTTCAGTTTTCACCAAAAAGGTTAATAGCGATTGGATGTCTAACATAGTGAATGTCAGTGAAAATGCGGTAAGATCAGTGGCTAAAATAGGGAAAGAACAAGTTAAAAATTACTTAGACAAGTTAGATGTCTTCAAGTCACCAGGGCCTGATGAAATACATCCTAGAATACTCAAGGAGCTGACTGAGGAGATATCTGAGCCATTAGCGATTATCTTTGAAAAGTCATGGAAGATGGGAGAGATTCCAGAGGACCGAAAAGGGGCAAATATAGTCAGGGGTGAAAGTAGACCAGTACGGCGTACCGGTAAGAAGTGGCCGCCAGTACCTGCCTGTATGCAGCCAACATTAAAGCGCAGCCGCGGGAGCGCTTTAACGTCACTGCCCCTGTCCCCGCTCCCGGTGGCCCTGCTGGTAGGGACCCTACCGGCAAGGCCGCCGATGGAGTGGGATGGTGGTGTAAAAGGGGCAGCTGCCCCGCGGCGCAGCGATTTAAAAGGCAGCATATATGGGCTGGCTGGGGGAGGCTGACCCCCAGCTCTGCCCCCTTCTGCCCAAGGCCCCGCTGCTTCTGGGGGCCCGGAGTCAGGCCCCCGTACTGGTAAGTCTTCTGTGTTACTGTCACCCCTGAATATAGTGCCCATCTATAAAAAGGGGAATAAAGACAACCCAGGGGATTAGAGACCAGTTCACTTAACTTCAGTACCCGGATAATGGAGCAAATAATTAAGCAATCAGTTTGCAAACACCTAGAAGATAATAAGGTGATAAGTAACAGCATGGATTTGTCAAGAACACATTGTGTCAAACCTACCCAATAGCTTTCTTTGACATAGTAACAAATCTTGTGGATGGGGGGGAAACGGTAACTGTGGTATATCTTGATGTTAGTAAGGCTTTTGATACTGCCTCACATGACCTTCTCATAAATAAACTAGGGAAGTACAACCTACAAGGAGCTACTATAAGGTGGGTGCATAACTGGTTAGAAAACCATTCCCAGAGATTAGTTATCAGTGGTTCACAGACAAGCTGGAAGGGCATATCAATTGGGGTCCTGTGGGGATGAGTTCTGGGTCCAGTTCTGTTCAATATCTTCATCAGTGATTTAGATAATAGCACAGAGAGTACACTTATAAAGTTTGTGGATGATAAACTGGGAGGGGTTGCAAGTGCTTTGGGATTAAAATTCTAAACGACAAACTGGAGAAGTGGTCTGAAGTAAACAGGATGAATTTCAATAAGGACAAATGCAGAATACTCCACTTAGGAATGAACAATCAGTTGCACACATACAAAATAGGAAATGACTGTCTAGGAAGGAGTATTGTGGAAAGGGAGCTGGGGGTCATAGTGAATCACAAACTAAATAAGAGTCAACAGTGTAACACTGTTGCAAAAACAGCAAACATCAATCTGGGGTGTATTAGCAGAAGTGTTTTAAGCAAGATATGAGAAGTAATTCTTCTACTCTACTCTGCACTGATAAGACCTCAACTGTGTCCAGTTTTGGGTGCCAGATTTCAGGAAAGTTATGGACAAATTAGAGGAAGTCCACAGAAGACCAACAAAGATGATTAAAGGTCTAGAAAACATGACCCATGAGGGAAGATTGAAAAAACTGGGTTTCTTAAGTCTTGAGAAGAGAAGACAGAGGAGACATAACAGTTTTCAAATATATAAAAGGTTGTTACAAGGAGGAGGGAGAAAAATTGTTCTCCTTAACCTCTGAGGATAGGACAAGAAGCAATGGCCTTAAATTTCAGCAAGGGCAGTTTAGTTTGGACATTAGGAAAATCTTCTTAACTGTTAGATTGGTTATGCACTGGAATAAATTGCCCAGGGAGTACTTGGAATCTCCATCATTGGAGACTGTTAAGAGTAGGTTAGACAAACACCTGTCAGAAATGGTCTAGATCAGGGGTGGGTAAATTACGGCTGGTGGGCCAGAACCAGCCTGCAAGCTGTTTTAATCCGGCCCTCGAGTTCCCACTGGGGAGCAGGATCTGGGGCTTGCCCTGCTCTGGCGCTCCAGCCAGAGAGCAGGGTCGGAGGCCACACCACGCCGCTCCCAGAAGCAGTGGCATGGCCCCGCTCCGGCGCTCCATCCGGGAAGCAGGGTCGGGGGCCATGGCACATCGCTCCTGGAAGTAGCGGCATGGCCCCCCTGGCTCCTATGCGTAGGGGCAGTCAGGGGCCTCCGCTCTGCACACTACTCCCACCCCACATGCTGCCCCTGCAGCTCCCATTGGCCGGGAACCGCAGCCAATGGGAGCTGCAGGGATGGTGCCTGCAGATGGGTCAGTGTGCAGAGCCTTCTGGCCACGCCTCCGTGTAGGAGCCGGAGAAGGAACATGCCGCTGCTTCCAGGAGCCACTTGAGCAGTGCCCGAAGCCTGCACCCCTGAGCCTCTCCCTGCACCCCAACTCCCCTGCCCCAGCCCTGATCCCCCTCCCACCATCCAAACCCCTCAGTCCCAGCCTGGAGCACCCTCCTACACCCCAAACTCCTCACCCCCAGCCCCACCCCAGAGCCAGTGCCCCCAGCCGGAACCCTCACCGCCCCCCCCCGCACCCCACTTCCCCACCCTCACCCCCTCCCACACCCTGAACTCCTCATTTCTGGCCCCACCCCGGAGCCGGCACCTCCCAACCAGAGTCCTCACCCCCAACCCAATTTTCGGAGCATTCATGGCCCGCCATACAATTTCTATTCCCAGATGTGGCCCTCGGGCCAAAAAGTTTGCCCATCCCTGGTCTAGATAATACGTAGTCCTGCCATGAACGCAGGAGATTAGACTAGGTGACCTCTTGAGGTCCTTTCCCGTCCTACGATCCTATGATTCTGTGACAGGGGAAAAGGATTGATTTGGAAGTTGGGGGCAGAATAAATTGCTAGGAAGAGGATGGGCAGGTGTGGAGGTGAGAGCTCCTGCAGAGGGACCAAAATCACCTTACTCAATAAATTTGGGAAAATGGCTGACAGTAATTGTAACATACATAACAGCAAAGGCCAGGGGGAGTTCAAAACTCAAAAGATAAACCAAAAACACAATATAATTTTTAAAAATAAAATCTCATGATTTTGGCGGTTTCACTCATGATTTTTGAACATTTGGGGTTGGCAATATGGTTAATGTAATATTGATTTTTAATATATTGGGCATTACACTGACTTTCTGTAATGGTGTTGACTTCCAGGAGCATCCTGGGGTGAGTTTTGACACCTTCCCTGCTTTGGAAAAAAACATGTTGGACAAGATTCATCCTGGCAGTGGCACTAGGGCTGGTGTAGGGCCTAATTTGTGCTCTAGCTGCTATGGGCCGTGTGCAGCAGGGAATAGCTGGGTCATAGGGACATCTTGGCCAGTGCCCATCCTGCCCTCAATCTGCACCTGCATTGGTGGCACCTGCATTGGGGGACACAACCCCTGTGCTAGTGTATCCTGTCAGGGCCTTCTTCAGGGGAGGTGCAGCCTGCACAAAGGGGCCATAAGGCAGAGATGAAATCCTTCCTTTGACGTTTTATCAATGAAATACCTCTGTGAGTGTTCGGTATTTATGGAAAAAGCAACCGAGGGTCCTGTGGCACCTTTAAGACTAACAGATGTATTGGGGCATAAGCTTTCATGGGTGAATGCCCACTTCGTCAGACGCATACGCATTCACCCACGAAAGCTTATGCTCCAATACATCTGTTAGTCTTAAAGGTGCCACAGGACCCTCGGACCCTCGGTTGCTTTTTACAGATCCAGACTAACACGTGGGTCTCTCTCACTATGTTTCAGACAATATGTAGGATTCGTGTTACTACATATTCCTAAATGGAATCCCTTATGGAGTTTATTAAAAATTTCCTTTACATTATGGGGTAGATAAAATGAGAAACTGAAATGGTTTATTAAAGGGAAGGCAAATATCCTTAAGGTGTGGCTAGCCTTTGATAAGTAACTGTAAAAATGTCATTGTGCAGTTCAATATTTCTTGTCTTTCAATGATTTCCATATCAAATATATTCAGTTCACACAAGATTTTTTTCTCCAAATACCAGCCCTACAAACTCAACCTGAGCTCTGAGAACCAAGCTGGGGTTTTCCATGCTCAGACATATATCATCACCTTTAGGCCAAATTAGACCCTCTGTTACAGCTGTGCAACCCCACTGTCTTCAGATTATACTCTCAGTGGCATTTATGCAGTTGAATTGTCATTCATAGATCCAGTTCACCAACTCCTATGTAGGTTAGTTCTGCAGTGCTAACAGGAATAACTTTCTTTTAGTCACTTAGCCTAAATTTGCAGAGATTACTCTGAATAAAAGGAAAGAGAAAATCTGTTAAGTAAGATGACATTTTTACAGTCACTTTAGGAAAAAAAAACGGTTTGACTGTCAGATCCCAGATTTACACGAATGTAATTGAAATTACAATCTGGCCCAGTGGGTCCTGTTGTCAAATCCACATGTTGAAGGCCTCTTGCCTTCCTTTCCATAGAGGTAGGATGAACATTATGTTTATAGCAGCCTATACGGAAAATGACTAGAAATCTAAGAGGAAAAAATAATAGCTGCACAATGAAAGGGTTGAAGACCCTCAGAACCATATCTGAACCATCCATCAGTTAGAACTGGTAGTGGAAAATACCTGCAACATCTATGGCCAAGTGATACCTCAAACAAAATAATTTTTTAAAATGACAACAGTGGTTACTTTATTAATCTTAATCCTAAATCAATCATTAAAAAGACTTTTTACATGTCAAAAAAGAAATATTTAACCTGAAATTTGGGTCCACTATCTTCACTCTGAACACATAAATGCCACTGTACTCAGTAGGCCAAATGACAGAATTGTAACCAGAGTGGTTCAAAATTTGATACAGCTGATTTAGGTCTCCTAGAGGTCCAAGTTCAGATTCAAAGCAGGATCTGTAATTCTGAATAGAAACAATAAAGGAGATTTTTTAAACTAGCTTTGACAAACACTTACACCTACTTGTCTAAGTTTCTGGACTTGTAATTACCTGCCTGCCTCTCTCTCATCTATCTATATATGACAAAGCAATAACTCCTTGGAGGTTGGTTTCACAAGCTCTATATACTTAGCCAGCTATGTTGGCTAGCAAGGAAGGGAGAAACCTGGTTCCCACACTTTCCTTGCCTTGTTTCAAACTGTCTACACCCTAAAATAAACTTGTTTAATTTAAATCTAAACCAACCCAGTGTTGTATCTGAATTGAAGTGACAGGGATTCATTAACTCCAGTTAATGTGGCAAGCTGCTGGGTATTTACCCTTTAAAGGAGCAAGCAAACCTTCTTAGCCCTCTGAATGCTCCAGGAAAGATCTGGACATTTCAGAGCAGATAGTTTGGGGAAAATTCAGGACTGGGGGTGTGTTGGAGTCACTTGGCTAGTAGTAACCAAAGCTGGTAGATGCCAGAATGAGGCTGGGGTGTAACAAGCAAGCTACTGGAATCAGAGTGCTGAGCCAGAGCTGCTTAACAAACAGACAGTGCATGCTTGTCTGTTGGCTGTCAGCAGGGCTGGCTCCAGGCAGCAGCAAAGGAAGCAGGTGCCTGGGGCAGCCAATAGAAAGGGGCAGCACTCCGTCCGTTGTTGGGGTGGCACGTCTGGGTCTGCGGCGGCAATTTGGTGGCGGGTCCTTCAGTTCCTTGCTTCCTCTAGGGCGGCAGCTCAATCGCTCCGCTTCTGCTTTCGGTGGCAATTCGGCGGCGGGTCCTTCCCTCCTTCTCTTCCTCTTCGGCAGCACTTCGGCGGCAGCTCAGTCGGGTTTTTCTTTTGTTTTCTTTTTTTTTCCTTCGCCGCTTGGGGCGGCAAAAAAGCTGGAGCCGGCCCTGGCTGTCAGTGTCCAGGCTATGACCCACAGCAGCAAAGCATTGAAGGCACCCAGAGTTACAGGGCAGGTGGTAAAACAACCACACCCCAGAACCAGGGCCGCCCGGGGGGGGCAAGTGGGGCAATTTGCCCCAGGCCCTGGGCCCTGCAAGAGCCCCCACGAGAATATCGGAGGCTCCCCCCTGCCCCCGCCTTCACCTTCCCCCATCCCCCGGCGCCTCAGCGTGCCACGTCCAGGAGCGGCCCTGGACAGTGCTGCAGTGGCGTGGCCTGAGCTCCTTCCACTCAGAGCCATATGGTAAGGGGGCACAGCTCCGAGCGGCGGGAGCTCAGGTCCCGTGGAGCCATGCCGCTGCAGCGCTGTCCAGGGCCGCTCCTGGACGTGGCGTGCTGAGGCTCCGGGAAAGGCGGGAGTAAGCAGCATGGTAAGCACCTCTGAGCCAGACACCCCCCTGACCCCTCCCCCACAGTCCTGACCCCCAGCTCCGAGCCCAGTCCCTCTGAGCTGGACACCACCCTGACCCCACTCCCCCCACAGCCCTGACCCCCAGCCCCTAGCCCAGCCCCTCTGAGCCGGGCATCCCCCAACCCCATCCCCACACAGCCCTGACCCCCAGCTCTGAGCCCAGCCCCTCTGAGCCGGGCACCCCCGACCCCATTCCCCCACAGCCCTGACCCCCAGCTCTGAGCCAGGCACCCCCCGACCCAGAGCCCAGCTCCCGGCCCAGCCCTGGGCAACAGCAGCGCCACCCTCAGGCAGCGACAACCCATTGGCACCAACCATCACCATCACCTAGCGACAGCTCCATTATGTAATTGCAAATGTATACATACCATGAAAGCATTTAATGTTTTTAAATAATGTATTTCGTGTATTTTCAAATTATTAAAAATGTATTTCACTGGTTATTTTTTACATTTCCAAATACATGTTACTATAGTATTGCAACTTTTTTTTTAATGGAAGGGGCCCCCGAAATTGCTTTCCCCAGGTCCCCTGAATCCTCTGGGCGGCCCTACCCAGAACATGACATAAGGGAATGGGTTCAGACAGACCAACGGGCTGAAAAGGCCTGGGGACATAAGGGCATTCAACGTCAACACTGAAACATTAAAAAAAAAAAAGCAATAGAACTAACTTCCCCTACATCTGGAGATGCCCAAAACTTTTACCCCCAACCTGAGGCCTCTAATTGCCCTGGTGGTGCACATTAAGATGAGACGCACAGCCTGGTGACATGGCTGTTAGGTGGCTGCTCAGTCTGGACCTCTGGCCTGGTGGAATATATTGCTCCTCAGCTACTCAGCCTTCAGCTTCTCTAGGAACATATGCTAGTCTAAGTGCAAAGTGTTCACTACCTTTCCCAGTTCAACTGTGTCCTTTTCCCTTCAATCATAGTCCTTTCCCCAAGCTCATGCACCCTCCCACCTAGGGCAACACAGTCCTTCCTTCTTTCACTGAGCCCTCCCCACAGCCCTCACTGTCCCAACCACACACTCCTGCCAAGATAGTGCCCGCCCCCAAGTTCCTCCCAACTGTCCAGGAATCATCCAGCTTCTTGCCCCTCTGAGCCATTGATCTTCCAGGATTTAGCTGCTCACACTTAAGTGCTGATTACAATAGTTTAGTGAATCGGAATCATACGAATGCCCCTTTGGACCAGCAGAAAGCCAATTTGGGGCCTCATGAAGTGATTTTGTTTGGATGAGAAATCAGTGAAACAAAATTGAGGTGTAATTCTTTTATACATAGAATTATATTGGTGAAGTCCTAGTCCCATTGAAGTCAATAATGAAACTCTCATTGACTTTAATGGGGCCAGGATTTCACCTAAAGTTCTGTTTCTCTGAACATACAGCACACATGCTTTTGTAGAACTCTCAAGCCAGACTCCAGCCCTGTGCCCAAGAAACTGCTGTAACAGGGTCACACGCTGCTGCTGCTTACTCACTCTAACTGCTTAAACACACAGCCTTCTTACAGCCCTCAGCCCCTACATTTGTGCCTGGGGAGACTCCATTAGTTCCACACTTTCCCTCTGGTCACATGGCTTGCCATATCTCTCAAGGGTTAGCCCCTCCCTTGTGTCCAGCTGTTTACCACTACAAAAGAAATTCAGTTGCTCGTAAAGCTATACAATATTTTAGTACACTCATTTATTTTAATGATGTTTGTGATTTTCTTTCAACCAGACACATGACAACAAGGGGTTAGTGTCTTTCGGAATAACAATATCCTTCCATAGCATTGTCAGATAATTACTGTATTGCCATCTGACTTGTATTCCACTTGCTCCATCATGCTTTAATTAGACTTCCCCCTCCCAGAGATACTAATAGTGTGAGAATGCCAAGTAAGACAGCTGCAGAGTTCATTCATATTTTTCATAAACTATTTGTAAACATATAATTTCCTACCTGTGGCCCCCATATTTCGTCTAATGTACTGTTTTCATGTTCCTCAAGCATTGAAATCCAAGTCTGTGCTTCACGCAAACAACCCACCTATTCAAAAGAATTCAAATGTACAAAATAAAAAAAATATTAGTTCTCTATCCCTGTGTTATTTTCTGAAGGGTAATACAGTATTTACATAGGTCTTGGGCATTGTGGTTCTGTATATTTTATTTATCTTATATAGCTCCTATAATGAAAGAACCCCGGTACAAATCTAAGGCAACAAAACATACTTGGGGAAAGACTCTGTCCTTAGGGGGTACATTGTTTTAAAATAAAATATTGGGATAATAATATTAGGAATAAGAATGTTAACATCAAGTAGGGCTTCAAGTTTCAATAGCTACCTGTACTGATTGAAGTAGGCAGCACCGATGAGAATAAAATAAATGCTTCTTGAAGGGAGCCAAATTAAATGGGCTTGACTTGACCATGATATGTAAATAGCACTAATGTAAATTGTAGCCATAGCAAAAATACATTCTGAGAAGGAAAAGGAACAAGTGGACTTGTAGCCCTTACAGCATCTACAATGTCTGAGCTATGCATTCTCTCAGGAGTTGGTACCAGAAAGGCAGTAATAAAAAAAAAAAGAAAAAAAGAAGGGGACTGACACATTGAAGCACTTAGGATATGTCTACACTGCAATTAGACTCAGGCTTCCGGGGCTTGGGCTAATGGGCTATTTAATTGCGGTGTAGGGTATAGACGTTTGAGCTTGGGTTGCAACCTGAGCTCTCACTCAGACCCTCCCACCTCGCAGGGTTCTAGAGCACAGGTCCATCCACCTGAAATGTCTAAACCACAATTAAACAGCCTCATAGCCTGAGCCCCACGACTCTACATCAGCTCGCACAGGCCAGCCGTGGGTTTTTAATTGGAGTGTAGACATAGCCTTAGGAAAAATGTACGGTGTCCAAGAAACAATGAGACATCAAAACAAAGTGGGATGCAACACAGCTGAGGAGCCAGACAGTGACCCTCCACAGGTGCTCCTTCATCAATCATGGTCATTCAGGTACTGACCATTGCAGCACTTAGGACTATACTCTGATTTCACTTATATAAGAAGGACTACATCCCAAGACTCCAGTCCCCATAACATTATGGCTCTTTTATGAACTGTTGTCAGAGGAATCCAGTCTGCCGTCCTCTGAGCTCCCACAATCCCATACTATGGATGAAGATTCAGCAAAAGGTAATTCAGGTAAGAGGCCTGAACCAAAGCCATTGAAGTCAACGATTGATTTCCATTTTTTTTTTTACCAAACCCAATGTTAGTACTGTCTTGCTTTAGTATCTTCCTGCAGGGGTAGGGATGATGATGTATTGAGCAGCTATGCCACACAAGCCATGGCTTTTCTATTGCCAGCCATTTCCATCTTCCAAACTGTGAAGAGTCAATTCTGCTAAAGCTCATCCCTATTTTTGCCAAATTCTGGCCTAGTCTAGCAATAATTCCATTTCCTAGCCTTCCATACATTACTTTGACAGCATGATCTGACTTTGAGTGTCCTGGGGAGCATGTCACTCTGCTTAAAAATGAAAGGCTATATTCTGTTTTCCATAGGCGGCAACTTCTCCAAGTGCCAATGGGTGCTCGACACCCTCCCTCACCCCCACCCCGACTCCACCCCTGCCCCGCCCCCTCCTGCCCCTTCCCCACCCCATTCCAACCCCTTCCCCAAATCCCCACCCCAGCCCCGCCTCTTCCTCGCCTCCTCCTCTGAGGGCACCGCGTTCCTGCTCCTCCTCCCCCCTCCCTCCCACAGCTTGTTATGCAAGCACTGGGAGGAGAAGCGGGAATGTGGCGCGCTCAGGGGAGAAGGCAGCTGTGAGCTGGGGTGGGGGTGGGGATCTTGGCTGCCGGTGGGTGCAGACCACTCACCAATTTTTCCCCGTGGGTGCTCCAGCCTGGGAGCACCCACGGAGTTGGTGCCTATGCTGCTTTCAGTTATATAGAAATTGCTTTTCATAGGATTGCATGGGTATTACTGAGGGCAGAATTTGACTTCAGAGATTGCAATGATCTCTTTTTAAGAACAGGCTAGATAAACACCTGTCAGGTATGGTCTAGGTATACATAGCAGGAAGGACTAGATGATCTCTTAAGAGCTTCCCAGCCCTACATTTCTGTGATTCTATATGGATAGTCCTATATTCCCATTTCCCCACAAACAGAGGGCAGACTTCAAAACTTCAGGATGGTTTTGAAGATTCACTTCCTGAACCATACTACCATGCACATAATTCTTTTTTCTTTTCTTTAATTACCTCTTGATTTTTATTCATGTGTTCAGTTTTGAACAATGTATGCTGTTAAAATCAATAAATTAAATGCTGAAAGTTACAAGTAATGAAATCTGCAACTACTATACAATACCTCCATTCAAACAGGGTGATTCAGACTGAAGATGACTGAACATGTATAAAAACAAGCTTTACCCAACTGTACTAGGGTGACCAGATAGCAAGTGTAAAAAATCAGGACGGGGGTCAGGGGCTAGAGGTGCTTATATAAGAAAAAGCCCCCCAAATCAGGACTGTCCCTATAAAATCAGGACATCTGGTCACCCTAAATTGCCACAATATATAGTGACAAATATAATCTAAATAAAAAGATGTCTTACCTGCTTCATAGATGAGTTGTAGCTGTAGTCACTTCTGCCGTGAACCTCCCATAATATAAAATTTGCCTCAACTGTTTTAACAAATGTGCTGCCATCATATCTATAAACAATATAGGTATAATATAATGCTTCAGTAAAAGTATATAAATGAGCAAATACCTCTCACTCCATGGCCCTGGTGGGAAACATGGACAGTGCGGTGCTGCTGTGCAAAAGGAATAAAGGACAAGCAGGGAATGTACAGCCCAGAGCAAAGGTGGGCAAACTACGGCCCATGGGCCACATCCAGCCCACGTGACCGTCCTGCCTGGTCCTTGAGCTCCCAGCCAGGGAGGCTAGCCCCTGGCCCCTTCCTTGCTGTCCCCCCTTCCTCGCAGCCTCAGCTCGCCATGCCACCAGCGCTCTGAGCAGCAGGGCTGCGAGCTCCTGCCGGGCAGCATGGCGGTGTGGCTGGCTCCGGCTGGGCGGCACGGCTGCCAGTCCTGGAGCTCTGAGTGGCATGGTAAGGGGGCGGGGAGCGGGGGGGGGGTTGCATAAGGGGCAGGGGGTCCCGGGGGGCAGTCAGGGGACAGGGGGCGGTTGGATAGGCATGGGAGTCCTGGGGGGGCCTGTCAGGTGGGCGGGGTGTGGATAGAGGTCCGGGCAGTCAGGGGACAGGGAGCTCAGGGTGTTGGATAGGGAGTGGAGTCCCAGAGGGGCAGTCAGGGGACAAGGAGCAGAGGGGGTTGGATGGTTTGGGGGTTCTGAGGGGGGCAGTCAGGGGGCGGGAAGTTGGAGGGGGCAGATAGGGGGCGGGAGCCAGGCTGTTTGGGGAGGCACAGCCTTCCCTACTTGTCCCTCCATACAGTTTCGGAACCCGATGTGGCCTCGGGCCAAAAAGTTTGCCCACCCCTGGCCCAGAGGCTTTGCTCTGAGGACTCTCTACACAACAGTGCACTGTGGGCAAATAGAATGCAGCATCATGGGTGGGACCAAAGGATCTTCTGCAGTGTGGATATTCCTTCCTCCAGCACTGGGCTGGCTATTGTTACGCTTGCCATTCAGCTGGAGTAGCCACTACAGCGTCAGAGAACTATGTAGCGCTGTGGGAAGGAGTCCTCTTGCCACACAATATTTCAGCTTTATACTTACAAGGCAATATCAGGGTTAAAAGGTATTGCATAATGAAGATCCATTAGGCAGCCATACTTATCCCAATCATAATTTACCACCTAAAAAAGAAAAGTTGTGGTAATATACTGTATATTTGTCTATATTTCTTCTTTGCATGTGTAACCCACACACCTTCTAGGTGTGGTGTTGTGTCCCATCTAATGGCACTGAGACCACTTAGAGAGACAGATAAAAGGAGTCTGCTCTACAGCCTTAGCTAACAGGCAGTTGGCTTTTAGCTCATGCTGTAAAGACTCATGCACTAAGCTCCAAAGGTCCCTCCTTCAATCCTGTCCATCTGTTGGCGTTACACATGCACACTCACATCAACTAAAGTAAAACCCGGTAACTCTCTTACCAGGTCTTCAGTTGTTGGATCCCACAGATATTCCCTAGTGTAAGGAAAAACTTATTGTTAGTTTTACACCTTTTCAAACCATATTCCCCTCTTTTCTGGTATAAAATGGATTGGATTGTTTAAGTAGGCAGATTTAAAACTGAGCATGCAATTTTCTTCATGGTTTAAAAACATGCGAAACAAGCTTTTCCAAATCCCCCTGCTATAAAGTTGTAAACTCTGCCAGTTGTAATGTATATCATTAGACATCTTAAAGAGACATCAACTTAAAAATAACACTTGCATCTGACAATCTGTAAGCAACTACTGTTATAAGCATTACTCATAACTAGTAACTAAAATAGCTCTTTTTCCTCCCAACTTTCGTCTCTTAGAGCATGTGGCTGCTCTCCTGGCCCCATTGAATTCAATGGGAATTTTGCTATTGACTTTAGTGGGCCATGGTTTCACTCCTTGTGTACAGTCACTTTCACTGTATAGTCATTTGAGGCTTGATCATGTTACCATTGAAATCCAATGACAGAACTCCCATTAACTTCTATGGGTGAAGGATTAGGCCCTTAGTTGTTTTCCCTGTTTGTGTGGATATTTCAGACAGCAACATTGGAGAGAAAAACATTTTAAAAAAAAAATCGGATGATGGGATTGGATCAAACACAAAACCTGTGATGGGGACTAAAGGACAGGTGTAGTAACAAACTACTTTTAACTAGATTTTCTTTCTTTCTTTCTTTTTTTTTTTGGTTGACTAGGTTTCAAGTTGAGAATGTCTCTTTACAAATATTTAGAATACTAATTTGTTTAAAGTAATTGGTATTGCATTGCTATGCTGAGAAAGAAAATAAAATTGAGATTAAATACATAAATATTGAAATATTCTAATTTTCCCACTATATATATATATATGTGGCTTCCTGCATTTTCATATATAAATTATATCTAAAAGGCCATATATTTCTTTTTATGGTCATTTAATACATCAAGGTTTCTTACCCAGGTATTTTGTAAGTAGTAAAATTATGTTTGATACAGGTTATATCTGAAGGTCTGTGGAAATAAAACAGATGATCAGTATAATTTAAGGGTTTTTATTTGTTACTAAAGTAGTGCATGAAAATGTAAATGACTGAACTCATCATGCTAGTATTGTCTGAGAATTATCACTGTCCAATATTTGTTCTATATTTTGACCTCTATTCACCAAAACTTTCTCAAATGCTTTGATAGAGAAAATCTGGCCCATATTTAATGTCTCAATCTGGCCCCTTTTTCACCACTCTGGCAGTGCAATGGCCATACACTGGCCACATCTGGCTAGCTGTGAATTCCCTCAGCAGAGAGAAGTTCTCAATTGACATAGAGCCAGCATAGCTTAACTGGTTCTTATTCCACTTTCTCTCCCAGCCATGTCATAGGGAGCATGCCAAGTGGGGGAAAGGGATGAGGCTGGAGTGCCATTGTGGTCTGCCTTAGGGGGCCCTTGCCAGCTGGCATATGTTAGAGCAGCCCCAGTGCTGCTCTAATCTACTCTGGAGCTGAAGCTGTGCAGAGCAAACTTTCATGGATCCAACTTCTCATCTGCACTGAGCACCTATTTCAGTGATAAAAATTAGTTATTGTTGTTCTTCGAGAAATGTTGCACATATAGGGCTGGTCTACACTGGGGGGGAAATCGATCTAAGATACGCAACTTCAGCTACGTGAATAGCGTAGCTGAAGTCGAAGTATCTTAGATCGATTTACCTTGGGTCCTCATGGCGCGGGATCGACGGCCATGGCTCCCCCATCAACTCCGCTACCGCCGCTCGCTCGGGTGGAGTTCCGGAGTCGACGGGGAGCGCGTTCGGGGATCGATGTATCCCGTCTTAACAAGACAAGATATATCAATCCCCGATAAATCAATCACTACCCGCCAATACGGCGGGTAGTCTAGATGTACCCATACATTCCACTTAGGTATGTGTGCGTTCCAAGCACAATCACTGGAAATTTTTCCCTTAATGGAACCCGTCAGGGTGCCCCCTGCCAGTGCATGCCAACAGCACCAGTATAAAGCATCCAGCTGACCCCACATCTCCTCAGTTCCTTCTTTCTGGAAAACTCCAGTGTAGAGGGGTCTGGGGGACTGGTCGTGGAATGGACATGTTCAGTGCATCTCAAAGAAGAACAGTTATGGAAGGTTAGTAAACGTTTTTTCTTCTTTGAGTGATTGCACACGTGCATTCCACTCTATGTGAAACCCAAGCAGTTGAATAGGTGGAGGGACTGGAGTTCATGGACACACAGACTGCAGAACAGCTTGACCAAATATTGGCATAATCTCCGGAATGCTGAGTGATGTCATAATGGAAGGAGAATGTGTGCACCGATAACCAGGTTGCTGCTTTACAAATGTCCTGAATAGGAATCTGCGCTAGGAATGCTGCTGGGGATGCTTATGACCTTGTGGAATGAACAGTCAGGTTAGTTGGTGGCAAAACGCTGACCTGCCTGATCGTAACACGTGCGAATACATGAAGTAATCCAGGATGAAATTATCTTTGAAGAGATTGTGAGACCCTTCATACTGTCAGCTACAGCTATGAACAGTTGAGTGGACCTTCAGAATGGTTTAGTTCTTTCTATGTAGAAAGCTAGGGTTTGTCCCTGATGAGTAAAGACATTCATTCCTATTTGCATGAGGCTTTGGATAGAAGACAGGTAGGTAGAGTGCCTGATTGCTATGAAATTGTGAAACCAGTTTTGGGAGAAAACGGGGGTGAGGATGTAAATAAACCTTATCCTTAATGAAGACTGTGTACAGAGGTTCTGATGGGAAGGCATGGAGTTTCAAGACCCTTCTGGCCAAAGTGATGGCGACTTAGAAAGCCACTTTTCAGGAGAGATACAACAAGGAGCACATTGCCAAAGGTTCAAGTGGTGGCCCCATAAGCTTTGATTAGACCAGGTTCAGGTCCCAGGGGGAACAGGTTCTTACTCAAGGGTACTGTATAACCTTTCTAGGCCTTTGAGGAATTGGACAGACATGTCATCTGAAAAAATTGACCTGTTATCCACCCAAGGGTGGAAAGCTGATATCCCTGCAAGGTGAACCTTGACAGAGGAGATTGCTAAGCCTTGCTGTTTCAGATGCCATAAATATTCAAATATGTCTTGTATGGATGAATGCACGGGTGAGACTCCATGTTGGGATGCCCAAACAGAGAACTGCTTCCACTTCAAGAGAGGAGGGCTGGTGGAGTGCTTTCTACTACCTAATAGGACCTGACAAACTTGCTCTGAGCAAGCCTGCTCTCTGAGATTTAGCTATGGAGCTTCCAGCCATTAGATGAAGGAGGTTCAGGTTTGGGTGGAGCAGCTGACTGTGGTCCTGGGAGATCAGGTCTGGATGCAACAGAAGTGGGATTGGAGTCACCACTGAGATGTCTAGCAGAGAACCAGTGTTGGCAGGGCCATGCTAGGTCCATCAGAATAATCTGGTCGTGGTCCTGCTTGATCTTTAGCAGCACCCTGTGCATGAGTGGACCAAGATGTAAAGCATAGTAAAGTTGTCCCATCCAAGGTAGTAGAAAGGCATCTACGATATAACTTGAACTGTGGCTTCTTAGACAGCACAACTGGTGACACTTTCTGTTGTACTTGTTTGCAA